AAAAGAAGCTAGGAAAAGATATGAAGAGAAGACATTGTGCTAGTGTACCTAGAGAGCTTGTGTTGGGTGAACAAATGTAGTCCACTATTTAAAGATATCAAGGGACTAATGGGGGGCATATGAGGCTGCCCGTTTTCAAATGGACAAGGTCAATTCTGTCATTTTCCAATAATATTATTTTGGTTTTGCTGTCATTATGTATGGACTTCACGTGTCTCAATAGACTCAATACTGTGGGCAAAATGTCCGCCGCCCCTTTGAAAATTGAACTTTAGATTTGATTACCCAGTGAGATATTTGTAAGATATAACTCAATTCAGAGCATGATATCGAAATAAACAGTACCCTCAATTTAGAGCATGTTATTTTATCGAAATAAATAGTACCGGGGATGCGCCCAACGGCCCAAGCATTGACTAACTTTACGTCAACATTTCTGATAGTTACTCGACCGACAAAACATATGGTTTACACCACCGGTGACCGGCGTAGCTAATTTTATTTTTTTTTATATTTGCTTGGTTGCAAAATGTGTAGTGAAACGTAGTTATTTTGTAACGAGTGCGCTCAACTTGTAGTACGAACTAAAACAAAAATTATAAAATGCGGAAGCAATAAATCGAAGATTTAAAAACTCTTCAGGGAAGCGTCCCACTTCCCCTCAGAGCTCTTTCATTGATAAACCGTTTGTGCACACTTGTATAGTTTGGACTTACACGACTCGAACTCCCTTCTAGTCTAGCCACAACTACACACGATTCTATCAACTACTTCTCCGACCACGTCCCGTGGATTTTACCTCTCGAATCCCTCGAGCTAAAGACAGTACTTAATCCCTAAGCACTGATCACACAAGTGTTTGAATGAAAAACAAAGAAAAGAAAACAAAACAGACTTCAGTTCTTCGATGACGTAAGAACACCGAAAAACTGACCAACGAAAATAAAACACAAAAAGCTTGCAGCTCGAATATGGAATAGAATATAATGCTCTCAGCTCTCCAAAATTCGTTCTTCAAGCAGATATATATACAATCCCTAGGATGTGGAGTGTTCTCCAAGTATAGGACTCCTTTTTGATTTCCTTCCAAGTTTATCCAATTTCCTTCCATGTAAATCATAAGAGATATGGTAGGTGTAGATCTCTATCTTCTCTTTCCAAAGATCTTTCCTTCTTATATGATTTCCTACAAAATATATCCATAATAAGATCATGTAAATCTAATATATATGTATATAAATCGAATATATAAATATAAATATAAATATATTCGAATATATAAATATAAATATAAATAAAAGAACTTCCCTTTTTATTTCTCATGCTTGCAAGAATATATCTTCACTTATATTAATTTTTGAACTTCATTGCCAAAAATATAACTCTTTCAATCTCCCCCTTTGGCATCTAGTTCGAAAATCATATAATGAAGATAACCTGAAACACAGTTAGAACAGCAAGCACGAATATGCAGAATAATATCATAAGGAACAAATCACTGCAGTAAGAACACAGTCCATAAAGTACCTGCAGTTACAACTCATTAGACGCACATAGCATAAAACAATCAGAGCAAACATCCTACCAATCACAGCAAGTATTAACAGCAGCCACACAAAAGAAAAGTCATAAGAGGTTCTAACAGCAACCAATCGCATCTATTGAATCTCCCCCTGACTTCTTAGCATCATCCTTGACCATCTCTGCCTTTCTCCCCCTTTTTCGAACTACGGGATGCCGAAGGGCCTGTACCCGTGTTCTTTTTCCACCGTCTTCCATGTGAAGAAACAGCGATGGTTCTTACATAATCCCCAATATCTTACAAAAACAGCAACCAATATAATCAGAAGCAAACAACTATAACATAATCCCCAATATCTTCAGAAACATCCTTTTTCTCCCCCTTTTTAGACTGAAATGCCAAAGGCAAATCTCCCCCTGAGTAAGAACATCGAGTGAGAGAAAAAAAATATAACCGAAGACGAAAGTCGTTGCTTGAACTGATCTCTAATCATTGAAGACTATCCATCTCTTCTCTAGTCTTTTGCCATCAGCCAAAGTGTTTCAGAAGCACAATAGAAAATCATGCAGGAACACAAATGGTTAAAAGAAAAATGCAAAGAGAGAAAAATAAAAATGGGGTTCTCAAGTTCTGAAAATGAAGATATATAGTGAGGACGTGATGGGTGAGGTTCGAAAAAAAATATCAAGGGAAAGGTTGAATACCATGCAGTAAGAACATCCCCATCAAAACTGAACACACAAACTCATTAACACACTAACACACGTGTCCAACTAATTCAAAATTAGGAAGAATAAGATTTTATCATCCAAAAATAAAGTCCCTCACATTTTTTAACGTCCAAGTAATTCACTCAAGAAGGAAATCACATGCATTATGCCTAAGGATGAAAAAAAAAAAATAAAACCGCATGCAAGACACTAAAATCAATAAAATCCTTTCTTAATCTACTTAGGCAGGATTGATGCATAATTAATCCAAAATCAACATTGTGCTACAAACACACCAAGGAACAAAACAGAGGCGGTATTATTATATATATGTATATGTAGCGCAAGTCATATCTCTCCAGAATTCCAACACCAAAACAACATAAGCTTTATTATTCACTAGGCTTTTCACTTAGTAACAACCACTGCAATAGTGAAAGTCAACCCCATTACTTTGCCCAATGATTTTAAGCAACAACATTAATTTACATCGAGGTTTTTCACTTAGTAACAATCACTGCAATAGTGAAAGTCAACCCCATTACTTTGCCCCAATGCTCGGTGTAAGAACTCGTTTTTTTTTTTTTTTTTTTTTTTTTTTTTTTTTTTTTTTTTTTTTTTTTTTTTTTTTTTTTTTTTTTTTTTTTTTTTTTTTTTTTTTTTTTTTTTTTTTTTTTTTTTTTTTTTTTTTTTTTTTTTTTTTTTTTTTTTTTTTTTTTTTTTTTTTTTTTTTTTTTTTTTTTTTTTTTTTTTTTTTTTTTTTTTTTTTTTTTTTTTTTTTTTTTTTTTTTTTTTTTTTTTTTTTTTTTTTTTTTTTTTTTTTTTTTTTTTTTTTTTTTTTTTTTTTTTTTTTTTTTTTTTTTTTTTTTTTTTTTTTTTTTTTTTTTTTTTTTTTTTTTTTTTTTTTTTTTTTTTTTTTTTTTTTTTTTTTTTTTTTTTTTTTTTTTTTTTTTTTTTTTTTTTTTTTTTTTTTTTTTTTTTTTTTTTTTTTTTTTTTTTTTTTTTTTTTTTTTTTTTTTTTTTTTTTTTTTTTTTTTTTTTTTTTTTTTTTTTTTTTTTTTTTTTTTTTTTTTTTTTTTTTTTTTTTTTTTTTTTTTTTTTTTTTTTTTTTTTTTTTTTTTTTTTTTTTTTTTTTTTTTTTTTTTTTTTTTTTTTAAAAAAAAATCATTATGCACTACGTTTTTTATGAAGATGACCACCTTATAACTCCAAGTAAAAACACCACACAATGAAGTGCAGTGGTTGTCACTAGCTACCACCCTTCACAACATTTTCTGTCCATGACGCTCTTTTCACAGTCGATCCCAAAGGAAACGAACCATGTGCTAGCTATCGCTCTAGATCATTGTGTGAAGGCAGCTCTTTTTGACAGAAATATATTTGTTCCAAGGTATGCAAGAACACGCCATCAATTAAAGACAATCAACATCTCACCCGCTTTCAGAAGAGTCAGAACTTCATTTATGACTTAGTGGTGAAATATATGCAAAAATGCAAGGCATGCCTAATGCAAATAATACCCTATATGCATACACGCAATGCAAATATAATATATATACTAATATACAATACAATATAATATAATGGCATGCAAGCAATCAGAGAATGCATATCCCTAAGGATTTCCTTAGAGAGATAAATCTTTGAGCATCAAGGTTATGTGCTGGAACATATTTATGAACAATTAATCCATCATCAACCAAATTTCTAGTAAAGTGGCATAGCATGCTAGTACGATTAAGAGAATGTTGAACAGAATATTTGGAAACATTAGCCGCATAAGTAAGGTCAAAGAAAAGGTCAATGGCTTGTACCTCAGTTCCAAATTTAAGAAAAATGTGCTTCATCCACACCTTTTCTGAACAACAAGTTTCAGCCACAAAATTCTGATCGGTGTAAGAACATCCGTCAGACGTACTCCATTGATCAGCAACATTCTCATCCCTATCAGCATCACAATCTCTAATAATACCAGAACTCGTATCACATGAGTCAAAAGTCATATAATCAATCAAATAGCAATTATCATGCGATCTAGACCCTGTAAGAACACAATTATTATTCCTATCTGAAACCAAACATTCATTCAAGGTGAAACTCACAGAAAAGTCTTGATCACATAATTGACTCACACTCAGCAAATTCGCTTTCAAATTTTCAACAAGAAGAACATTTTGAAGTTTGGGCAATCCAGGAACATTCAAACATCCTATACCGAGAACTCTATTCATAACACCATCACCAAAGGTCACAAAACTAGAAGGAACAGGCAAAATATTAATCAAGTTAGATTTTAGACCTGTCATATGACGAGAACAACCACTGTCAAAATACCAATCAGAATTAGAGGTGGATTTCAATGCAAGTATAGAAGATAAGCAAACGTTCTTACTGCCTTTAGGAACCCAAATCTTTTTCTGTTCATGATTAACCACATCAACCTTTAGTTTAGGTGCTTTCAAGGGTACACCATATGGACTCCATTCATCAATTCGACCAGTATAAATATCATTATGCATCCTATAACACTTAGGGCGAATATGACCACGGATACCACAATAGTGACAAACAGGCACAAAGTTCTTACCAGAATTCTTACGCTGAGTTTTAGTAGAGTTAGGCTTACCATTCTTACCATCAATGCTGTAACCTTCTTTGACAAAGGTCAGGTCTGACTTACTCAGAGATGTGCTAGGTTCGCCTACTTTACCTTTCAGTTTTTGATCATGAGCGTTCTTACTCTGGTCTGAAGTACCTATTTGTTGACTCATCCTTTGAACTTCAGCAAATGAGGACTTGGGCTTGTTGATCATCTTGACAATCTCCTCACTCTTGCTGAGTTTCTCCTCCATTGTAGAACAATAACTCTTGAGCGTTACATGTTCTTCCATCACTCGACCGAGTTCTCTTTTGAGTGCAACAATCTCGGATTCCCTTTCATCTATAGTTTTCTGCAAGACAAACATTTCATTACGTAGAGACTCAATGATAAAAACCTTTTCATCACATACCTGCTTGGACAACTTCTGTTCATGTTCTAACATCGTGATTTTGGCAACAAATTCGTCCAGCTTATGTTCCTCCTTGCT